TTTTAACTGTGTGCTTATTCCAATTTCCTCCTCTGCAAAATGGGATGATGACTGTTTTCATTTCCTGTGGCTCCTGTAACAAATTACCACAATATTAGTGGCTTAAAAACAACACAAATTTATGATCTTGCAGTCCTGGAGGTCAGAATTCTGAAATGGGTCTCACTGGTCTAAAATCCAGGTGTCGGGAAGGCTGTGTTCTTTTCTGGAAGAATCTGTATCCTGCCTTTTCCAGATTCTAGAGGCTGCCTGCATTCCTTGGCGCGTAGCTCCCTTCCATCTTGAAAACTACAACAGGTGGTTGAGTCTTTCTCACACTGCATCATGCTTACACATACTTTTCTGCCTCTCACTTTCACTTTCAAAGACCCTTGAATCAACTAGATGGCAAACGATCTGGTTTTTTGTTTGTTTTTGGTTACACTGGGCCCACACGGATAATCTCCCTATATCTTAAGGTCAGCTGATTAGCAACCTGAATCCCCCCTTGCCATCTAACATAACATAGTCACAGGTTTGGGGACAGGACATGAACATCTTCTGAGAGGGGGCATTTTTCTGCCCACCACAATGATAATAATACCTACCTCATACGGCTGTCTTAAGGATTGAATGAAGCAAAGCATATAAACTACTTTAGCGCCTGGTACCCGTTATCATCTTATGACACTCCTAATTTTATAATCTCTTTTGGCAATTTGGTCCCAGCCACAAGAATTCACTTCATAGTCTGAACTTCCTGAGATCCTCTGTTCCTAAAGTCTAGCCAAGCACTGCTTTCTTTTCCAACTATAAGACCTCCCCCAAGAGCCCTAAGCTTCCACATCTCTAACTGTCTTCCTTTTTAAGGCAGAATTAGAATAGACAGCAGCATCCCCTCACTGTTCCCCTATCTTCTAGGAGACAAAATGGGCAGCAGGGCCAAGAAAGAGCTCATGGCATGCCTGGCTCTATTTGGAGCACTCCCTGGCTAGCATGACTCCCAAACACTCTCAGCTCCGTTCTCTGGACTTCCATCCCCACACAGAAGCCTTCCTGCATGGCTCCAATGCCAGCTCACAGAACTCAATGACTCCAGAGACATGAATACGACTTTTATTCAAGTGGACTCCATCCTCCACTGGAACCAGATGCTTCTATTGAAGGTGTTCGCTTCCACTGTCACAGGCCAGTTGGGGTTCCTCCAATATCAGAGTCAAGTGGACAGACTCGACAGGTATACACAGAGCCATCTGAGCCCCAAGGTTTACTTCAAGCAGCTACCCTGATATTACTGGTCATGATGCCTTTTGTTTTGCCCCAAGTATTGTCTTTTATTGTATGTATTTCTCAGTTTTAATATTTTTTTTCCTTCATATTTCAAAATTAAAAGTCACTGCCATCAAGTCGATTCTGACCCATAGCAGCCCTGATGGTTCAGTGGTTAAGAGCTCAGCTGCTAACCAAAAGGTCGGCAGTTCGAATCCACCAGCTGCTCCTTGGAAACACTACGGGGCAGTTATACTCTATCCTATAGAGCCGCTATGATTGGAAATTGACTTGATGACAATGGGTTTGGGGTTTTTTTGGTATTTCAAAATTGTGCTTAAAACTCATGGTCAGGTCAGGCATTGAGTCTCATGACAGATGCTCCCCACTTGTTTTGGGAGTGGCACCCTCATCCCTGCTGAGACTGGGGGCCCAAACCCTCCTCAGTTCAGGCTCTTCTATCACCTCTCAGCAGGCCTGGGAGCCTCAACGCCAGAGCCTTCCAGGACAGAACAGCCAGGGGGCCAGGGCTGGCCTGCGATAGCCAGAGGTCACAAGGAGACTCAGGACCTGGCACAGCCGTGGTGGGGTAGGCAGTGACTGAGACCCCAGGCTGCGAGGGTGTCTGCTGCAGGCCTGGCAGGTGGGGGCATGTGTGTGAAGGCTCCACATACTCACCTCCATGGCCCTCTTCCAGTCTCTCTTCCTTGGGGACAAGAGGAGGCAGACATACCAGCTGTACACTCAGGCCATTCAGTTTTCATCCTAGAATTTCAAATTCTCCAATAAGTCCTTCCAGACTTCGCCGTAAACTGCTCCCTCATGTGGGAAGGCAAACCTGAGCAGAGACTCAAATACTTGCTGCAGGAACGCACCCCTCTCACACTGGTGTTGCACAGGCGTCTCTGTGCACCTGAGGTGGGAATCAGAGATCCCCAGTCATCACACCGTCCCTCCCTCTGAGAAGGACCCAGGATCTCTTCTGCCGCCTGCTAAGAGGGCAGCATCAGCTGATGATTCATCCAAACATCCCAGGCCATCCTCCATCAGGAGAACTCACTCCTGCTGCTCTGTGCGGTAGGGGTGATTCTTCTCTCTGGAAAGGCTGGGCCACATCCTCCCCTTCATCAGGCTCTTGACCACAACTTCCTTCTGTCACTTCAGAAATGGTCGTCTTTCTTTCTGGCTTCCTCCGGGTTCCTTCATCTGCCTAGGAACAGTCCAGCCTGGCCAATAAACTGAGGGAGGAAGGGGAGCACCTCCAGCCTTTCATCTTCATTTCACACAGGAAAACCAGCTTTCACCTGGGGCAGAGACAACTGGCCACCACCTCAGGCCTGTGGCCTCTAGTTCCCACACAGCTCTCAGATCTCTTCCCTGCCCGAAATCCCAGTTCTCAGATCTGCCGATAAGCTAACAGTCCCTCTTGGCTCCTTCTGAGGACTCCCCAGTGAAATAGCAAGCAACTACATGCTTTCCTGACTGTTTATGTTGCTCCTGGGTCCAGGGCGTGCCTGGGAAGGCGGTTCTGCAATGTACTTGAGCAATCCCATTAATCCAAATCTTTTATTAACTACGTCCTCTCACTATAGAACCATGCCAGGTAATAATCTGACTTTGCGTCCTTGATAGCACCTAGGGTGGTGGTGGAATACCAACAATTGGGCTCATTCCTTTGGCTTTGTCATTGATTTTATTTAGGAATTAAAGTCTTTCTATGTTTATTTTACGGTTAGATTACAGACAAAAACACAAATGTAAATAAATGATGCATAGTTATACTAAAAATGGCATACGTAAGGTTTGGATTCAGTATGAGTGAGCCTCAAAAGAAAAGAACAAACTGTGGTTAAGTGAATAAGGCACGATCATTCTAACTGACAGGCAGTGAGAGTAAAGGCAAAAGAGAGAAATTCAGAACATTCTATTTAGTAGACAAAAGTTACATAAAATTTAGCTAAATATACTTAAAATATGAATACACGTGACTAAAACCCATTGTTGTTTAGTCGATTCTGACTCATAATGACCCTATAAGACAGAGTAGAACTGCCCCACAGAGTTTCCAAGAAGCGGCTGGTGGATTTGAACTGCTGAGATTTTGGTTAGTAGCTGAGGTCTTAACCACTGTACCACCAGGGCTCCTTACAGTGACTACATAACAATTATTTGAAGAGAGCTCAGTTTTGCTATTCTGGAACCACTGCAATAGCTATAAAATTCAGTTCCCTACCCATGGCAGGTTTTTTTTTTTTTTTTTAATTTTAAACGATATGAACTTCAAGAAAACAAGCCTTTAAAAACTGTAACTGTTAATGTTACACAGGTGGTAGAGTGTATTTTGCACCGTCAAATTGCAGTAATTGTGAGCCTGAATCACTCCAGGAGTCTGACTAAAAGACTTTTTGGCCATTTTCATTCTGCATGGATTAAAGAGGATTAGTGGGGACCAGATGGCCTTCCATGAATCAGGAGGAGATCAAACAAAACGGTCTTTGTGGCAGTCCTCCTCTCCAAGGCAGCATCCCGGACTCACCAGTTCCAGTGAAACCACAACCCAGATCACAGGCTACCACAGGGGGGCTGTTTGAAAGGGTCACAGAGCCACAGAATTTGGGAGCATCAGGGGACCCAGAGTTCCTGGAGCTCTGTCCTTGATGCAGCCAGGCTGAGATGAACAGACTCTGCCGTTCAATCTAAGCATGTAGGCAACAATGATACTGATCTATTTGTCGTCAGGAGGGTTTTAATATAACTGTAATGTAAATTTCAACCATAATAGTTTTCATTTAATAGCCTTCCCCCAAGAGCCACTGAAGTGCTAGAGAAGCACGTAGTCCCGATGTCAGCAGGCCCAGGATTGGAATCAGCGCAGAGGAAGAAAGTGGTGGCAAAGCTGTGACTCTACTCTCCTAGACGGTCATCAAAGCCAGCACCAAAACCACAGGTCTGGTGGGGTGGTTATTTACCAGAGCATAGAGCCCTGGTGAAAAAATAAAACAAAAACCAAGAAAGCAACACAGAGGGGAAAAAACAAACAAAAACAAAAAACCCTGTGCTCCTGGTCAAACTTTTCTGTAAAAATATACTATGAAAAATTCAGTTTGTTGTGAATTTAAAAGTCTCACCAAGCCCGGAGCTGCCATTAACCAAACCAAACCCGCTGCCATCAAGTCAATTCTAACTCATACTGACCCTATAGGACAGAGGAGAACTGCCTTATAGGGTTTCCAAGGAGCAGCTGGTGGATTTGAACTGTCGACTTTTGGGTTAGCAGCCTTAACCACTGAGCAACCAGGGCTCCAATAGGGAGCATGATTTTATATGGACTCCTTTTGGCAATTCTGGTGGGGGTGAGATGGAAATATTTTGCTTAGGAAGGTTACAGGGGATCCTGTTCATATTAAAAGTGTAGGTTTAAATAGGAAGCTTAGGGGGCAGTGAGTTTATGTTAACAGTGGAGGAACAATTTGGAAAAAGAGGGTGAGAATGGTTGCACAACTTGAAGAAGACAATCAATGTCACTGAATTGTAGATGTAGAAATTGTTGAATTGGTGTATTTTTTTGCTCTGCATATTTTTGACAACAAAAAATAGAATATTAAAAAAAATAAAGTGTGAGTTTAACTCTGCTGAGGCCTGGCAATTAAAACAGCACCCCCTTTCCCTCTCTCTCTTCCCTTCCCCACCCCAGTCCACCCGGCTCCTCCTCGGCAGGAAAGCTGGCAGGGCCACTTCTGTTTGTGTAGTACCTGCCGTTCCTGGTATCATGTTGCCGCATGTTCTTGATAAAATGAATCTTCTTAAAATTCTTTGGTCTGGGCGAACCTGAGAGAGTTCGACATCTGAAAAATAGAGCCATTTAAAAAACAGTCAGTTGCTTGTTGGACAGCTGAGACATCTCCACACAAAGGCAGGAAGGAAAGACCAGACAAATGGTTTGAGTCACCCCAAGGCAGGCAGGAGTCAGCAGGAATAATAAGACAATACGCCGGGGAGCAAGGAAGTGTTAAAAAAAAAAGCCCAGTGACAGACAACTTCCTTGATAACACTGAGATATTTTATATGGGTCTCGAAAAACCAGCGAATGAAAACTCTTGCCCCCAGTTACAATAACATAACCTACACAGATTCCAAATACATTATTCTTTACTGTTGTCTTAAAAAGAACTATTCTGGATCAACAATGGCAAATGGGACCAAAAACTGTAAATTTAAAGGATTTAGGAAGAAAAAAAAACACTGGAAAATTCAGTTTTAAAAACAACCCTAAATCATTTTTCTTCAGTAGCAAGATTTTGGCCTGAATTACCTGGACAGTTGCCTTGACTCTCTGTGTGAGTATGCCTGGATAGTCAGTTTTGATGTGAACGAGAATCAGATACCTACCTGGCTGGTTGCTTTGTTGAAAGATATATTTTAAATAAATACTTGTTGAAATAAGTGACTTGAATCCAAAGTATTCTTCCTCCCGCCCCAGAATATACATTTCCTTGCACTACAGGACTGACAGACCAGATCACAGGCTGATTGGATCTTATTTGTGTACATTATTTTCAAAATTACCTGGCAAATTCTAAGCTACAAAACTATTTTAAAAAAAGGTGGGGGGGGGGGCAAAATACCCTAAAAGAAGAGCCGAAGTTTGGTCTTTTCTTGAGACAGAGAGCTGTGCCTTTTCTATCTTGATTTTTTGCTACCTAATTTTTTTAGTTAAACCTTTCTGACCATGGGCCCCCAGAGCTGGCTCCTGCCCTCCTCCGTGGGTACCCATGACCTGACGCTTCAGAAAGTGAATCCCTGATAGCAGTGCCTGGGACGTCACCCAAGTCAGCCCTGAGCATCCAGGGCCAGCTCCGAACTTACAGGCTTCCGCTAAACCTGTAACGTGATGATTCAACAAGGAGGCACCGGGAAGGGAAAGTGGGGGTATAAGGGCACGTTTGAGAACAGGATTGGGGAACAAGCACAGTAACTCCAATCTCTGCTGGCCCACAAGGGCTCATTTCTGGGAGGTTAGGCCTTGCACATCCCCCAGCCCCAGCCCCGATGGTGCTGTTATCTGTGAACTTTGTGAGACATACAGAGGCCGAGACTCCCAGAACCTCTGAGGCAGGGCCAGGGAAGGAGGCAGAGAGGCCCTTCCCTGCTCCGTGTTCCCTGCCCCACCCCCAGGAGCAGGACAGCGACCCCACATCATGCCTGTAGTACCACAAAGGAGTGGGGGACTGACCTTCACAGTAGGAGTTCCCCAAAGTGAAGCCACTGGGCTGAGGGAAACCCTCAAACTCAAGGCCTCTCTGGGATCTTAGAACAGGATAGTTCCAATTTTTCTGAGGACTATATGAAAAGCTGCTGGTGTTTCTGGGCATTTCTGAGGAGACTCCATCTTAAGAAGGCCACCTCTCGTCTCAGGCCCTACTACACACATACCACCTCATCACTGCCAGGTGCAGCTGCAAAACCACTGACTGGTTCACGTTTGGCTACAGTGAAAGGGCAACGCTTCTCACTCCAGCTCTTTCTATTTCCATGCTATAGTCTTGCCTTCCTGTCAGGGCAGGGCAAGCACGGGCCTCCCTACAGTGGACACCGCAAACAACATATCATCACGTGTGAGGAGAAACTTAATTCCACTTACAATCAGGAAAACCTCATCCCAGGCCCTGCTGGTGCTCCCCCTGAAGGACAGACCATAAGGCAGGAACACTAACCATTACAAATGATGATCTGAAAATAATGTCACTAAGTTTTCTAAGTGGGATTAGTGGGAAGGAGGGAACTAACATGTATTCAGTGCCTTCTGTGTACCAAGCATTTTGTATCTGTTATCTTATTTAACCCTTACAAAAACCCTGTGAGGTAAACATCACTATCCCTACTGTACACAGATGAAGAAACTGGGGCTCAGAGAGGTTAGGTAACTTCCTCAAGGCCACAGCACTAGTAAATGGTGGGATACGCTTCCCGTGCGATGGATCACTTTTGAGTGGCCTGTCTCGACACGGTCTTGTAACCCCTACCAAGTGATTGGGTGGGACTGTGCAAATAGGGTAATTGTGGTCCACCAAGGGGATTAATCACTTTCACCATCCTGCTGGGCTTGAAATGAGCCATCCCAGAGGTAGAAAGGAAGAGGATCCCACCACTACCAAGGAAGAAGAGCCAAGAGTGGAGTGTGTCCCTTGGACCTGGGATCCCTGCACTGAACCTGGAGACAGAGAAAGAGAGACAGAGACAGAGGGCTCTAACAGTGAAGACGGTGAGAAGCAGTGGCAGAGAAATGGCAGCAGGAGAGACCAGCAGGAAATGACACAGTGGGCTTCCTGGCCCATGGAGTGAGAAAGCTGAGTGCCTTTGGGCTGAGCCTTAATGGCAGACTGGGGTGCCTCTGGGCACTTACTGGAAGAAGTAAAAGAGCTTTGTAACACTTGCTCGAGCAGAGCAGAGGCTGAGGGCCAGGGAGAGGCATGCCTGTGAGCATAGCTGGGAAGAGGCTGTCCTGATGGAAGAACTGTATCCTGAGTGTTCCTCAACCTGAACTGTAACTTGTTACTTCTCTAATAAACTCTATAATCATGAGTATTGCGTATGAGTTCTGTGTGGCCATTGCAATGAATTATTGAACCCAGCAGAGAAGTAGGGAGTGCCGTGGGAGGGATGGTTGGTGTCAGAATTGGTAAAGATGGGGGAGAGAGGAGGCATGTCTGACCTCTGTCTCATAGGAATCAGCCTTGGGCTATTGACTTTGATTTTCCTTCCCCCTTGTGAAGTTAGAGGAGGTCAGATGCCACCCCCACGCCATTTTTACACTCCTAAACCCAAGCCCATCTCTGTTTCAGGGGGCCTGGGATGCGCCCAGCTCTGCCCTGGCCTGGTCCAGGGGCAGCCTCCCCACCTCCTACCCGTCCTGTCTCAGCTCCTGCTCTCCTGGCTGCTGCCTGAGACAGAGCCCTTCACTCCACAGACTTCTCTTCCCTACTCCTGGCTCCACTGCCCCAGCTCCTAAGAGCTTCCAGCAGCAGAAGGGTGATGGCTCTGACACCTCCTGGCAGACAAGAGTGGGGGTCCCAAGCCAAGATGATGGCTCAGAGGAGGAACCAGCAGGGCTGGGCTGGCAGGATGGGTGAGGCTTGGGAAGGAGGGGAGGGTGTGGTGGTCTCTTTGCAGCAGGGTTGGGCCCACCTGCAAGAAGTCAGACCTTCATCTGGCCCTTCCCCCACCCCACGTTCTGGGGCGGCAGCAGCCTGCACACCCTCAGGCACAGGGCAGTGTGGGGGGCCAGACCAACCACACCCTCACCCACCCCTCAGGGCCAGCCTTACTAGGAGCCCTCTCCCAGAGAGAGCTGAACTTCTTTTTTGATAAGAAACATCACCTTAAAATGTAATTTTAAACTTGAAAAAGTAACACTAAAGTGAACGAATTTAGGTCAAGGCACAAACATGTTATATTTGGCGGCTTTCGTCAGGAAAAGCGGGTGTCATGGGCCCTGGGTACAGAGCGGGAAAAGCCTCACTCCTAGTTACCTGTCCACCATGGAGCAGCGCCCACAGTCCTTTGAGGTCTGTGTGACCCTGCGGCAACTTCAGCGGAAACCACGCTACTCCCAGCCTCCACCCCAAACTCACTACCTTCCTGACCTATCACTGCTATTTTCCTTTCAGATCCCTCCCTGCCGCTGTTGGAGGTTTAAATGTGATAATGTACATAACAGCTTCATAAACTGCCAAGAGATGTTCAGATACAAATACTCATGTTTATATGTGTGCACACATACACACACATTCACATACAAATTTCAAGTGTTGTTATTAACAGACCATTAGCTACACGAAGGGTTCATATTTTGTTTTGTCTCCTATATTCTTCAAGTGCAGCCCTTATTGTTGTTTTTAGCTGCAACCGAGTCTTCTCCACTCCTGATTCGTGAAGACCCCCACACAATGGAATGAAATGCTTCCTGGTTCCATGCCATCCTTATGATCCGCGGCAGATCAGACCGTTGTGATCCATAGGGTTTTCACTGGCTGATTTTCAGAAGTAGATCACCAGGCCTTTCTTTCTAGTCTGTCTTAGCCTGGAAGCTCTGCTAAAATCTGTTCAACATCATAGTAACACATCAGCCTCCACCGACGGACGAGTGGTGGCTGCGCATAAAGCGCATTGGCTGGGAAATGAACACGGTCTCCCGCATGGAAAGTGACAGTTCTATCACTGAACAACCAAGGCCTCATGTAGCCCTTATTAAACAAACAAACAAAAACCACTGCTGTCAAGTCGATTCCGAGTCATAGTGACCCTACAGGTCAGAGCAGAACTGCCCCATAGGGTTTCCAAGGCTGTCATATATTTTTCCCAGGGAGCGGCTGGTGGGTTCAAACCTCCCATCTTTTGGTTAATGGCCAAGCACTTAATTAATCTTTGTGCCACGAGGGCTGCAGCCCTTATTAGAGGTCCTAAACTCTTGGTTTTAAATGAAGATTCTTTTAAAGACTTGTAAAGTCCTGTTAGAGCACATTTAGTAGATGCTTCTTATAGACTTCAGTTTGGGTTGGAACAGAGGACAGTGCCCAACAATTCTCCCCTCCAAACTTCCAAACCCAGCATTGGTCTGCTCAGGGTTCAAGGGGTTAGAGCTTCACTCTGCCTTTTTGGGGCAGCTCTCTGAAAGCAGGCTCAGGTCTCTGTACTGCCTCTGCTCTATCTCTACAAGGACTGCTTGCCATCTGTGGGCCACCCAGGGTTCCCAACTGTCACTTACTCTCTCTCACATACACAGCAGAAGGTTCTAGAAACACAAGGCAGCTTAAGAGAGAAGACTTTCTGAGAGCACAAAGGTATGTCTGTGTGGTTTCTGGATAGGACTAAGGTTTTAGGAGTCTCCTCAGACCCTCACCCCCTCCTCTTCCCAAACAGCAGCGCTTCCTGGGACACCCCACCTGAGGGCAGCATGCCAAGGGCTAGGCTGCCATCGGGGTCAGGGGCTCATGGACACTGCCACCTTGGCAAACTCCAGCACCTTTCCCTCAGCAATTGGAAGCTGGTATGCACCCCAACACAGAGGGACGGCCCCCAAACTCTCCCTGCCTCCTATGCCGTCAGAAAGACCTGCTGCCGCCCTCAGCTCTGAGTGCCAAATGCCTCTGCTGGAACAGAAGTCGGCTAAAGGGCCACAGGTGGCTATCCGTGCCGGTGCAGGAAGGAGGCCCAGGCAGTAATCACTTTAACAGCTGCAGCCACCAGCGCCCATTAACCCAGACAGTCTGGAAAACTCGAGGCAGGTGGTGACAGCAACCACCTTTGCCACAGACAAACCGAGGTTTTTGTGGGCGCCTAGTCGAGATGTCCTAATTCCTTATATTCAGGCAAAAGGAGAACTCCTCAGTCTAAATAAGTCCTATCGGTGTAAATGCTCAATTATTGAAGTTCTGGGTGAATACAGGAAAAGCCAAACCAACCAACAAACCACGACTTGCAAGAGTAAAGCAAGACTTTAAAAAGGAATCTTAACAAAGGTCTTTATTTCCATATCAGCCCTCACTTCTAACTGCACACGCTTAATCTAGACCGCCATTCAGCAAGCTGCTTGTTGTTTTGTGTTTTTTTGTTTTTTTTTTAAGCATTGAACTAAACCACCAGGGAATCTAAGAAATGCATTAAGAACACTGTGGGGTTAGCAACAATTCCAAGGAAACTGGAATACTGGGTGCTCAGTTTGGGGCAGGGTAAGCAGAGAACAAATTAATTTCGAAGCCGCATGCCATTAACGTAAATATGCATTTAAAAACATACATTTTAAGTGATGAAAAATTAAATTAGGGTAGAATCAAATTAAAAACTAATTTAGTGAAAGATTAGCTTTTTTCTTGTCAGGGCTGATTACAGGATACACTTAATTACGCAAAAGGTTTTTAATAGATGCCTTGGAGCAATCTCTTCAATGCGCTAAGTTTAAAAGCAAGTTTGGCTGATAGCCTTCCACCCACACAGTTCCCAAAACACTTCAGTGTCTTATTGGTACATTCATTTTGCAGATCACGGAGCTGGAAAGGACACCAGAGAGCAGACAATTTGACCCTCCCATTTTACAGATGGAAAAACCGAGGCCCCAGAGAGGCTATAGGAACTTTCCAAGGCCACATAACTAGTTAGTAAAAGAGTCAGGCCAAGGCCTCTCAAACTAATATCCTTCCCTTTATACCATCCTAATTGCATTTCCTAGAAACAAGTAAGTTTCTAAGTAAATATCAGAACGTTTTTTAAAATTCAAAAAAAAAAAGAGCTATTTGGGGAGATAAAGACTTCTAAAACTGCCCCAATTCCCTCGATTTCTGACTTATTTTTTAATAACATCTGTAAAGAAGATTCACTTTAAATGAAGTATACAAAAAAAAAAAAAAAAAAAACCCAAACCCGCTGCCGTCGAGTCAACTCCGACTCATAGAGACCCAACAGGACAGAGTAGAACTGCCCCATAGGGTTTCCAAGGAGTACCTGGTGGATTTAAACAGCTGACCTTTTGGTTAGCAGCTGTAGCTCTTAACCACTACGCCACCAGGGTTTCCAAATGAAGCATAGTATCCTGTAAATATCACTTGGATGAACTCACTGTTAAGACAGATAGGACTTTCTTACTCCACACACTTGTACTATCACAGAGTTGAGAAGCAGAGGGGCAGAGGGTGGTCTGGGCCGATTCTAAGACGGGGGAGGGGGTGCAGGGGTGACAGGGCACTGACCAGGAAGACAGCGTCCAGGTCCTGCTTGGGCCTCTCCTTAGCTGTCTCAAAATATAATACCTGTGTTCTGAGGCGCAACAGCCCTGTCCTGGAATCCCTGAGGCGGGAATAACCTTTTTCAGCCTATAACCTGAATCACCTGGGCTCACTGTTAGGGCACTGCTCAAATGACTGGCTTTGAGAAGCCTCTTGAAACACCAGGGGCGTCTGAGTTTTAGTTATTGATTTTCCTGTCTGCGGCAGGGATGAAGGAGAGATTAGCCAGAACATGACCTTACCTGCTCTAAACCAAAGCCACACGGTGCTGGCTGAGGTTTCTCTTCCATGCTAACTGGTTACTTTGGACCCAAGCCAGCTCCCTAATTTGACTTAATGTAGCTTTTTGTACGACTCCTGCCAGCTGACTGGCAGAGCAAGGAGAAAGCCTTCTCCCAACCCTGAACAATGACTAATAGAAGACTGTATCCGAGCCACGCTCATCATGCAGCTACATGCCACTTCTCCTAAGATGGTCCCAGGGGAGGCATGTTGTTGTCATCTGCCATCGAGTCTGCCCGATTCATGGCAACCCCACGCACCATGGAACGAAACGCTGCCCAGTCCTGCACCATCCCCACGACTGGTTGAGGCTCGGACCATTGTGATCCATAGGGTTTTCACTGGCTGATTTTCGGAAGTGGATCACCAGGCCTTTCTTCCTAGCCTGTATTAGTCTGGCAGCTCCACTGAAACCTGTGCAGCGTCACAGAAACATACAAGCCTCCACTGACAGATGGGTGGTGGCTGCACATGAGATGCATTAGCTAGGAATCAAACCTGTGTCTCCTGCATGGAAGACAAGAACTCTAACGTTGAATCACCACTGCCCCGTTTAGAGGATGCATGTTTTCAAAAATATGTAAGACTTCGACAGTGGCTATCAGCTGTTCGGCATGGTCTTTCGCTTTAGAATAATGTTGGTGATGAGATTCACAGTCCCTGATGCCTTCACTCAGATCCCAGGCCGGTCTGTGCTCACTCTGCTCTCCACTCTCACAGGTAGAGCATGACGTCAACACCTACAACCTAGGATTAAGCTCCAGGCAGAGCACAGTATCTCTGGACAAACGCTGCCTTCCACATCAGCATCTCCCAGGCTCAGAGAAGGAGCCAAGCCCAAGTTCCCATTGGCAGCCAAAGCACGTGGGCTGCTGAAGAGCTGATGCAAGTGGATTGGGTGCACAAACCCTTCGGAGGGCCCTCCTCCTCAGCTGCCTGCCCGCATACCCGGGAAAGCCACAGCAGACCTTCTTGGCCCCTTCTGCAGCAGGAAGCCCCTGATGCTGCCTAGCTCAGGGCTGCAGTGAGGATTCAAGGAGATCAAGTATGTGAGCATTTTCTCCTCCACTCCAGGAGGGCCTGGCAGGCCGGTGGTGGAGGGGCAGAGTAGAGAGGCTCAGGGTAGAGGAGGAACATCTGTCAGGTGGAGACACGGAACAGCTCAGCAATTGCTGCCACCAGAAAGATGCCCAGCCAGCACTTTCCTATCCTGAGGGAGAACTGGAACACTCTCGGGCCCAATGGAGCACTCACAACTATCTAGTCAAGCTTCCTCAGCAGCTAGCTGGGAAGTGACAGATGTCATAAGTATTGGTGTCCCTCGTCCAGGACAAGGAACTACAGTGCTGTTTCTGGGGAAAGGGCCGAGAAAATCAGCAGCTCTTCTTCCATTAAATAGCAGCTTTCAAAACAAGAAAGAACAAAAAGGAAACCACCAAGGGGAAAAGGAGCCAAATAAACACACAAACTGGGCCTGGCTCTCTGCTTCTGAAAATCAGCCAATGAAAACGTTATGGATCACCACGGTCTAATGAACAACCAATCAGGGGGATGGCACAGGACCAGGCAGTGTTTCGTTTCATTGTGCGTGGGGTGGCCATGAGTCGGGGTCTGACTCGATGGTAGCTAACAACAGCAATAAATAATTGGGACTGAATAGTTTTCTACTCCTAATGGTCCTCAGAGTTGGGGTTTCAAACTAGGAGTATGTTCCACAGTCCCTGGAGCTCAGACTGTCATTTTAAAAGTTCTGTATATCAAGAACTTAAAAAAAAAAAATCAGACTTTTGCTACTACATTGTATGACAAACTGTTCACACATACATAATTGCAACACTGAAAAATTACCTCCGTAGAGGGGCATTCTCTTCAATATCTTCCAGTGTCTCCAAGGAAGACCTCTGGGAGATGAGACGACGTCTGTAGAGAAAGGAAAACAACCAGGAGTTAAAAGTACATTTAAAAATTATCACACATTGCTGCAAACCTAAAGCTGTTCTAAGAAGTAAAGTCCATTAAAACAAATGAGCAGACAACAGCTGTGTTTAAGAGGAGGCCCCCGTCCACCTTGCAGTTATCGCCAGGCTGAAGCTGAGCATCTCCCCTGGGTACAGGACCTCTTTGCAGGGATTAGGAAAGTTACTGACCCTTTTTATGCTGCAATCTCCCCAAAAAACAAAAAAAGTCAAGGTGTCTCTTGTAACATGTAGAATAACTTGGGCGCTGCATGCAGTTTTTCTTAAAGCATTAGACAATACTGTTGAGTACTTAAATACAGTGATCTGAACCAGGTAGCTGATAAAAGAAATAATGAATTTTAGAACTATGTTCAATAAAATCCTCAAAATCACTAGAATGCAATAAAAAGTAAAGTTATTGGATACCCCCCATTGATGTTGTTATTGTCCTTTTTGGTATCTGGATGATCTCAAAAGCAACTAGAAATAAGGGAGAAATCATTCATTTGGGAGAGTCTCTTGGTGACCAGTAAGAATAAATACTGAGACAAGATTAAACAAAACGTTAACTCTTTCACCTGTCAAAACCTCCTCAATTTAGTTTCTTTTGATGGACTGAAAAAGGAATGTTCTCGTTGGTGCCATCAAGTAGATTTTCGACTCATAGTGACCCCATGTGACAGAGTAGAAGTCCCCTATAGGGTTTTCTAGGCTGTAATCTTTATGGTAGCAGATCGCCAGGTCATTCTCCTATGGAACCACTGGGTGGGTTCAAACGACCAACCTTTTGGTTAGTAGCAGAGTGCTTAAGCGTTGCACCACCAGGGCTCCATGAAATAAGAATAGGTTCTAGTTAACTGAGAATATGTGGTACAGGCTGCAGGTGGGGGTAGTGTTAACTTTAAGATAACTCCATCTGAAACAAGGGCTGTCACTTCACAGGACATGATTTGGTGGGGGGAGGGGTATTTAAAATAATTTGACTGGGTCTTTACCTTGGAGAAAAAAGAGAGACTAAAATTATGAAGATAAGTCTATTTTGTATTACATTTGACAAAATTTAGGTTAAGAACATGCAATTATAACCATGTTCTAATTCTCAGAAGAATAAAACAACTGTTTTTTTGTTTTGAGAGTACTTTTTCTGACCAACTTATCCTGACACCTGTTGCTTCATGTTTTACTTTCATAAGACAAGCAGAAAGGTCACTTTTGCAAACTATTCAAGGTTTTCATCAATTTTCCAAGAGGCTTTCTTAATCTTCTGATATCCAAATCCTTTTTTAAATTTTTTAAATGCTCATCATGGAATTCTGGTAAGATGGCAGTGTAAAAAAACTATCATTTCGACCCTCCCCCACAAACACAACAAGAAATACAAAAAGGAAATGATGTTCGCCTTTGAGGGACTTGGAATCAGAATCTGGGAGCCAAGGAAAGAAGCAGGGAACTGCAGACAGGCAAGAATCAACAAATCAACAATGAGTCGCATACAATGGGAAAATCGCTTCGCTTCTCCCACCATCGCTGCCACTCCCTCAGCCACGTGGGCTGCCAGCTGCCGTGAACTGGTGCAGTGGACCCAGAAAAAGAGCCTGATTCCCTAACCACTACAGCCCCTGCCTGTACAAAGAGACACGACCCCAAATTTCTGCCCTAAAATCAACAACGGGGGTCTGTTTGGAGTGTGCCAGTACCTTCCCCACCTAGACACTGCTGCAAGCCTACTATGAATTGCAAAAGAAGGCCCATGCAGTGGAGTCTATTCTCACAGTCAACACTCTACCTGTCCCCTGAGCACTAAAGGGATCAGACCCCTGAAACCACCAGGACAGACCTCCTCAGGGGTCAGTTCTGGTCTATCTGCTCCCCCTATCGATCAGTGCTGAAGACTGCTGACTGAGGCTGCTGTGTGCTAAGAAGCAGGCATCTTTAGTGGCAGCTACACCCAGAGCCAACATACTCTAGGGGGGACTCTGATAGCAACAAGGAAGACCTCCCTGGGGGTCTATCTGAAGTTACACCGATGGCTGCAAGCCTCCTGTGAAATGCTACAGAAGGCCATACAGTGGAGTCTACTCTCATAGTAAACGCTCTACCTACCTTCCTGCGCACCCCATAGCTCAGGCCTCCGAAACCAACAGAACCTCCCAGGGAATAAGTTTAGGTCTGTCTGCTCCCACTTTCGGTCAGTGCTGAGGACTGCTGACTGAAGCTGTTGTGTGCTAAAAAGCAGGAATCTTTAGTGGCGGCTACACCCACAGCCATCATACTATAGGGAGGGTCTGGATGGCAACCAGGCAGACCTCCCTGGAGGTCCATTTGGAGCATGACAGGCCCTCCCCCACCCAGACACTGTCAATTGCAAGCCAGTTATGAATTGTTACAGAGAAGTCCTGCAGTGGAATCGGCTCCCATATCAGCACTCTACCTGGATCCCTGGGCAGCCCATAGCTATAGACTCTGAAACCAATAGGACAAACTACCCTGACAGTCAATTACAGTTAGGCTGCCCACACTTACAGTTGACACTGAGGATTGCTGGCTGAGGCTGATGTGTGTTAGGAAGCAGGAGTCTGGAGTGGAGGCTGCACTCATAGCCAAAAATCTACTAGGGGGACTCTGATAGCAACAAGGCAGATTTCCATGGGAATCTGACCAGAGTATAATACCTCCTTCACCTCCTGGTAATTGTTGGTTGCCAGGCTGCAGCAAACTACTAAAGAAGGTCATCGCAGTGGAGTCTGCTCCCATGGTCAGAACTCTACCTGCCTCCCTGTGCACCTCATAGCTCAGGCCTCTGAAACCAACAGGACAGATGCCCCTGAGGATCAGTTTGGGTCCATCTGCTCCCCCTTACAGTTGGCACTGAGGACTGCTGACTGAGGCTGCTGTGTGCTAGGGAGCAGGCATCTTGAGTGGAGGCTATACCCACAGCAAACATACTACAGGGTGGGATCTGATAACAACAAGGCAGAGCTCCTCGGGATTATGACTATCCCTCCCCCAACCAGTAACCGTCAGCTGCTGGACTGGTACGAACTCCTACAGAGAGTACCCTACAGTGGAGTCACGAAGTGGGTTGCCTAAGTAGAGACTGCTCCCTCAACCACCATAGGGCCACTGGGGCTCTAAAACTAACAAGACAGATTTCTCAGAGGACCTTCTGGGGAGTACCAGCCCCTAGTCCTCCAGAAACAGAGGAAAGTTGGCCTGTGCTTCCCCTGAATGCCAGATCAGATATAAGCAGCCCCCACAGAGCAGGGAAGGAAACCTTGGGTAAAACCAAAGGGTAACGCCCCGCCCCAAAGGGGTCCTGCTGGGTGTAGGTTTTCCGACTAAAAACAGGGTTGCAAAAACAGAGAAGGGAAGGGAGTAATAACCGGAGAGGGGGATGGCACACCCTGGTGGACATATTGATTAGTACATAATATCTCGCCTGAGTGGTGATGCCCGCTGGTGGGCAGACTAACCACAGCATGTTCTCTGGTGAGTTTGGGAGAGACTGAAAGATGAAAAATGAGATCTGGAACTTTTGAATCCCAATTAAACCAGGGAGAGAGAAGAAGCTATCACAGAGAGGGAGAGAAAATGGTAAGCAAAGGCTGAAAGACCTGCCTACCTAAGAGTTTCTTACAGAAGAGGTGCAGGCAAAAACACCAAATACTGGAGAACACTGAGGAGGTTAACACCCTTGAAAATTTTAATGTCCAACAAAAAATCACAAGATACACAAAGAAAAGAGAAACAATGGCCCTTCCAAATGAACATGACAAAGGGAATAAAAGTACATCTAGGGATGGCCAAATAATGACAAAAATAAAAAAAAAAAGGAAGAATATATTACAACAACATTAAATACAATTAAAGAACTAAAAGGAAACCTAGACAAAAAGCTAAAAGAAATAAGGAAAGTAATGTAAAAACAAAATGAGGATCTAAAAAGAGAGATATTGCAAATGAAAGGGACAACCGAAATAAGAAACACAACAGAAGGACTTACCAACAGATTTAATCCTGCAAAAGAAAGAATCAGTGAACTAGAGGACAAAACAGTGAAAATTACAGATGCTGAAGACTAACAAGAACGGAGGCTCAAAGAGGCTCAGCACAGTTTAATGGAATTATGGGGCAACAAGAGACCTAATATACACACAATGAGAATTCCAGAAGAAGATGAGAGGAAGGGAGGGGAAGAATATATGAATAATGACAGAAAATTTCCCCAATCTAACAAAAGACATGAATCTACAAATCCAAGAAGCTTACAGAACCCCAAGCAGGATAAATCCAAAGAGATATACACCAAGACACATCACAGTTAGTCTCTCAAAAATTAAAGATAGAGAATCCTGAAAGCATTGAGAGAAAAATCAGTCACATACAAAGGATCCCCAGTAAGATTAAGTGCCAATTTTTCCTTAGAAACACTGGAGGCCAGAAGATAATACAATGATATATTTAAAGTGCTGAAAAAAAAAAAAAAAAACTGTCAACCAAGTATACTATACTCAGCAAAACTATCCTTCAAAAATGAAGGTAAAATTTCTTGGTCTCGGGGAACGTGTAGCTCAATTGGCATAACATAGTTTATACAGGAAATGTTCTACATTCTACTTTGGTGAGTAGCGTCTGGGGTCTTAAAAGCCTGTGAGCGGCCATCTAAGATACTCTACTGGTCTCACCCCATCTGCAGCAAAGGAGAATAAAGAAAACCAAAGACACAAGGGAAAGATTAGTCCAAAAGACTAATGGACCACAACTACCACAACATCCACCAGACTGAGTCCAGCATAACTAGATGGTACCTGGCCACCACCACTGACTGTGCTGACAGGGATCAAAATAAGGACAGGGCTGGAGAAAAATGTAGAACAAAATTCTAACTACACACACA